CTTCTCCCAGCAAGACCACCCCCGAGATTTTGGCAGCGAAGATGGTATGAACCGATTCCCCAGTAAGCAGAGCAGCCTGTTCCCCTCCCAGAAACACACAGTTGTGGGGCTACTCACATAGGCGCAGGAACTAGGGGAGCGGGCGGGGCTGCAGCACCCTTGGGCTCTTGGCCGACTGCCCACGCTCCAGATGCCCCCTATGCACCAGGGGCTCTGCTCCCGCCCTCAGCTGGGTCAGAAAGCAGCAAGAGGGGATTCCCCAGTAAGCAGAGCAGCCTGTTCCCCTCCCAGAAACACACAGTTGTGGGGCTACTCACATAGGCGCAGGAACTAGGGGAGCGGGCGGGGCTGCAGCACCCTTGGGCTCTTGGCCGACTGCCCACGCTCCAGATGCCCCCTATGCACCAGGGGCTCTGCTCCCGCCCTCAGCTGGGTCAGAAAGCAGCAAGAGGGATCAGGGCTGGTAGGAGGAAAGGAGCGTGAATGGGTGTAGTCACTGGACACGGGAACGACCACATCCGATCAGGGGGCTGGCCAGCCCGGCTCAGTGTCCCATGTGACGGGGCCCCGTGCCAGCTGCTCCCGAGGAACATGCAGCCCCCTCGCATGCAGCTGACAGATGAGCGATCATCTATTGCTCTAAGGCATACCCTAACTTCTACCCAGCCGCCACTGAATTAAGAGCAGGACGGGTTTGTAGCTCTTCCAAGCGTGTTCTCAAGGTTCGGAGAGGGAAGGGAGAGTCACGGGATTATCGGGCGCCCGTCGCAGGAACCCGCAGAGCAAAGGCTCCTCCGGCCATGCTGCGTGGGGGAGGGGTGGGACCGCCCCACGCTCAAAGAGGCGCGACGTGGCAGGGGGAGCAAAGCGAGTTGGGGCCTTTGTGCTGCCTGGGAATGCAGCGGGGGGGAGGCAAGAGCAGCTCCTTGCCAAATCCCAGCCCCGCCAGTCTCCCAGGCCACCTTGCATGGAAGGGGGGAGGAGAAGAGGGGAGCGGGTGGAGAAGGATGGGGAGGGGCGGAGCAAAGGCAAAGGGGGCGGAGCTCGAGCAGGTAGGTCATGTGGCCAATGCTCCTTTCCCCAGTCACATGTAGCCACATCTTAAATCTGTCTGGAGGAGTGGAGCCCTCCTGTTCGCTCTCCCATGGCTTTGTGCAAATAGGCCTGGTGAGGTAGCATTTCAGCCTGGTGCTCTCACCTGCTACTGGAATACGCAAGGAGATGCCCAGGGCCAGCCTTTCAGCAGGGACAAAGGAGCACCCAGCAGCGGCCAGCCAGGCATGAATGGCCCATCAAGACCTGCCCTGCTATCCCAGAGAAACAAGCCTCTTTCTAGCCACTGGGAGCAGGTACAAGAAGAGACCATGACTGTCCTACATTGGCCTCGCTCCTCCCCCAACTCAGTACCTGGGAGAACAGCTGGACCCCAAAGACTTTGAACTGGAGGAGTTTGGTCTCAGCTGGAAGGGGTCCAGTCCCTGCACATGCACAGAGGCACTGTAAGCCGTGTGTATCAGCTGTTAGGGTGCGAGATTATTTGATTCAAATTTGGCTGACTGGGAGTTAGATTTTAGACTGCAAATAGAGTCGTGTTTCCCAGGTAACCAGCGTGGCTCTCTATGCCTGCTACCTGCAAGTCAC